GTTGAATTCTTAAAATATTTTTGCTACAGCTAGACTTTTTTCATGGGAAAAATTGAGGGTCTAGGATGGTGATCAAGTTGGTTTTCTTAATGACTTGTTTGATTGCCTCTTCTCATGTCACTACCATCTTATGACAGCTTTTTGAGTACCAATACAACATGGGGCTTCTCTTGATTGAGAAAAAGGAGTGGACTTCTACGCATGAAGAACTTAGGCAAGCATTGTTAGAAGCAAAGGAAGCCCTCAAACGGGAAGAGGTTGCACATTCTATGGCAATTGAAGAAGTTCAGGAGCAGGAAGAGAGATTGAAGAAGGCACTGGGTGTTGAGAAGCAGTGCGTGCTCAATGTAAGGATAATGATTGTGCTTTTGGGTTGTTTTGCTCTCATCCATCATCCACTTGAGTTTATGAAATGTAGTTCTCTAGAAAAGTGTTTGGCCACTCTTGATTGGATATTGTAACTGGATTATTATAGGGTTTTTTTTTTTTTTTTCTCCCTCTAGAATTCAAGTTTGCAGACTTGCCGATTGTTTCAAGAGAGCAAATTTTATGTTTTAATTGTTGTGAATGATTAATATTTGGAGAATTTGATTGCCACAGCTGGAGAAGGCATTGCATGACATTCGTTCAGAATTGGCGGAAACCAAGTTTACAGCAGATTCAAAGCTCTCTGAAGCAAATGCTTTAATTGCTAGTGTGGAAGAAAAGTCACTGGAGGTGGAGGCAAAGTTGCGTGCTGCTGATGCTAGGCTTGCTGAGGTAAGCAGGAAGAGTTCAGAGATAGAGAGGAAGACACAGGAGTTAGAATCTCGTGAAAATACACTTAGATGGGAACGCTTATCATTCATTGCAGAGTATGACCATGGATTCCTTTTAGTTCTTTTATTACATAGCTGTTCTGACTTTTGCGAATTTATAATTTTTTAATTACTTGCTTTTGCTTAACTTGGAGATAGTTGCTTTATTTGGCATCTTAAACTTATGAATTGCTTCCATTTCTCTTAGACATGAGGCACATGAGAGTTCTTTGTCCAAACAGAGGGAGGACTTGGTAGAATGGGAAAGAAAACTTAAAGATGGAGAAGAGAGGCTAGCCAAAGGTCAAAGAATTGCCAGCCAAAGAGAAGAGAGGGCAAATGAGAATGATAGGATTTTTAAGCAGAAAGAGAAGGATCTTGAAGAGGCACAAAAGAAGATTGATGCAGCTAACCTAAGTTTGAAGGAGAAAGAAGATGATATAAACAATAGGCTAACAAATTCGACTTTGATAGAGAAGGTAATTCATTATCCAAATTGTGATATTGTAAAATATGAGATTGTACTATTGTAGTTTATGTTATTCATCTCCTGATTTGTATTCAGGAATCAGTTGATCTAAGAAAGAAGTTAGAGCTGAAGGAGAAGGAGTTGCTTGCTTTGGAGGAAAAGCTTAATGACAGAGAAAAGGTAAGTTCACAGAGTTTTTCCTCAGTGATGGATTTGTATCAAATATCAATCAAGAACCTTATTATGAGTGCCATCACCTCATCCCTCCAAAAAAAGAGGAGGTGATGGAGAGAGAACAGTGTTAAAAAAATATGGGTACTATTATCAGTAGTTTGTAAATGATTATTTTCCAAGTGATGTATCCTTGTATTCGTTGTAGTTGGAGCATTCCTCAACAAGATTGACCTAGGAAACAGCTATATTTTGCTATGTTCAATAGGTTATTGGAAGTCTGTATTCATTCTTCCAACAGCTATATTCTTTTGGGCATATTGGGGCTTCTTATGAATAGTTATGGTTTAAATCATGCATTTGATGCTTCCCTGTTCTTTGAACATTGACAGGTTGAGATTCAGAAACTTGTGGAGGAACATAACATGATTCTGGATCAAAAGAAGTGTGAATTTGAGTTAGAAATTAAGCAAAAGAGGAAAGCTCTGGATGCAGATCTAAAAAACAGGGTGATTGAAGTGGAGAAGAAGGAAGCTGAAGTCAACCACATGGAAGAGAAGATTGCAAAACGAGAGCAGGCATTAGATAAGAGATTGGACAAAGTTAAGGAAAAAGAGAAGGATTATGAATTAAAACTGAAAGCTCTGAAGGAAAGAGAGAAGGCCGCTAAGACTGAGGAGAAGAACTTGGAGAGAGAGAAGAAACAGTTGCTTGCTGAAAAAGAGTATCTTTTTAGCCTTAAGGCTGAAATTGAGAAGATCAGGGCTGAAAATGAAGAACAGTTATTGAAGATACGTGAGGATAATGACAAGCTTCGTGTAACTGAAGAGGAGAGATCTGAGCATCTCCACTTGCAATCAGAATTGAAAGCAGAAATAGAAAAATGTAGGCTTCAGGAAGAGCTGCTTTTGAAGGAAGCTGAGGATTTGAGGCAGCAAAAGGAAAGTTTTGAGAGCGAGTGGGAGGAATTGGATGAGAAAAGAGCAGAGATTGAGAAAGAGCAAAAGAATGCTAGTGAACTGAAGGAGAAGTTTGAAAAAGAGAAACACATTGAAGAAGAGAGATTAAAAAGTGAGAAGCAGGTGGCAGAGGAGTACAAAAAAAGGGAGCTGGAAGCTCTTGAAGTTGCAAAAGAATCATTTGCGGCCAGCATAGAGCATGAGCGGTCGGTAGTGGCTGAGAAGGCTGAAAGTGATAGGAGCCAAATGCTTCATGATCTTGAGTTGCTGAAAAGAAAACTTGAGAGTGATATGCAGAGTAAGCATGAGGGAATGGAAAAGGAATTGGAAGAGAGGAGGAAGTTGTTTGAGGAAGAAAAGGAGAGGGATTTGGAAAATATTAATTATCTGAGAGAGGTTGCTAGGAGAGAAATGGAAGAAATAAAGCAGGAAAGACTTAAGATACAAAAAGAAAGACAAGAAATTGATGCCAGTAAGACACATCTTGAAGGGGAACAAATTGAAATACAAAAGGACATTGATGGCCTCGTTGAACTTAGCAAGAAGTTGAAGGACCAGCGAGAACAATTTATCAAGGAAAGGAGTCGATTTATTTCGTTTGTGGAGAAACAAAAGAGCTGCAATAACTGCAGTGAGATGATCTCTGAGTTTTTGCTCTCTGATTTGCAATCATTACATGAAATAGAGAATGCTGAAGTCCTTCCACTTCCAAGACTAGCTGATGATTATGTCAATGCAGAAGTTCATGGAAACTTGGCTGCATCTAAGAGGCAAAAGGGTGAGATGTCTCCAGCAGCTGGTTCAGGATCTCCTCTTTCAGGTGGAACTATGTCATGGCTACGTAATTGCACCTCAAAGATATTTAAATTTTCTCCAACTAAGAAATATGATTCTCATTATGTGCAAAATTTGAAGGAGGAGTTTCTCTCTGATGAGCAAGTTGATGATGAAGAAGGATCAAAAAGGTTGGCAACTACTGATAATGGTCAAGAGCTGTCAGTTGCCATTGTTGATGAATCTTTTGATGGTCCGAAGGCCAATTCTGATACCAGCACAAGACATGTTGATGCTGCACGTGATCAATCAACTGATTATCAGAACAACCTTAACAGTAAGGTGCCAGAAGATCTAGTGAATAATCAGCCTTCTAATTTGAATGGTCGTCGGCAGGTTCGAAAAAGAGGCAAGCCTAGAGTAAGTAGAAATCTCTCTGTCAAGGCAGTTGTCCAAGATGCTAAGGCTCTACTTGGGGAGGCTGAGCACCCAAATGGGTTTGCTGAGGATTCTGGCAATGTTGATGGAGAAAGCCGAGATGAATCTAGCCTTGCTGATAAAGGAACATCAAGAAATGGAAGGAAGCGGAACCGGGCTCAAACGTCTCAATTTACTGTGAGTGAGCAACCTGGTGATGAAAGTGATGGGGTTTCTGGTAGTGTTGTGGCAGGCCAGCAAAGGAACACGAGGCAAAAGGTTGTTGTGGCACTTGAAACTCCTGGCCAGAAAAGATATAATCTCCGGCGACCCAAAGGGTAGGTTTTTGAATTTTCTGACTAGAGTTAGGTGGTGGAATTTTTTCCGCTGGGCACAACAGCTGTAAACATTAGTCTAAAATTTGATTAAGAAAAGCTTTAATTTAACTACGAAACACCTGTGTAATTTTTCTGTTTTTGCTGCCAACTGGGTGGGGGAGGGGGGTGGGGCTTGTTACATGGGTTGAACACATGTTGCTTTCTTTGATTTTGCTAAGTGACTAACAAGCAACTTTTCTCCTGTGGCTCTGGCAGTGGAGCAAAAGTTGCTAAAGCCTCATCAGATAAGAACAAGGACAGTAGGGAACCTACTGGGGATCAGGTGAACAAAAATGGTGGAAGCAGACATGAGGCACAGGTAGGAGCTTTTGGATATTCTTTCTGCCCCGATTTTAATGTTTGTGCATGTATATATACACGTCTAGCATAATTCATTGACAGTTTGAAAGGAAACTGTTACTGGATTCAATGACTTTCTATTCAAAGTTTCTCTCTATTTTTACTTGATCTTTTTTTTTTTTTTTCTAATTTGCCTTTTCTTCTATTTTTTTCCATGTGGTAAATTGGGTTGAATTGGTTTTCACAAATCAGGATAGTTCTTTATTGCATCATATTTATATTTTATTTTATGTGAACAGTCTGAAGCAGCCACTGAGACTCAGGATGGTGACCCTGATACAAAAAAAATCGTTGAGACAGTAGCATTTAGCGAGGTGAATGGGACAACCCTAGATGGGGTTGGAGAGTACATTGAAGGAGACTATAGGAGTGAATCCCTCGCTGATGGTACTGTTGCAAATGAAGACAATGCTGAAGACGAAGATGACGAAGAGGAAGAGTCCGAGCACCCAGGCGAAGCCTCAATAGGAAAGAAGCTCTGGACATTTTTCACCACATAGTCATTGCTGAATCTCGTTGCAAGGTGTACTGTTACATCAACTTTTCTGAAATTTGCCGGTAGGAGCTTTGATGTTTAGTTAAGTGTGTATTGACAATCTAAATGTAGTTGTAACAACATGATCTTTTGATTTAGGTTGGGGGGGATTGGCTTTTTCTTCACGCTCATATATCTTTTGTTTAGGATTTAGAATAGTTGGTTTAAATCTCACTCCTCTTTTGTTGTAAGATAAAATAATAGATGATTTGTTGTATTAGCAATGACCAGTGCATTGTTAACACTGGACTTGTCCATCCAAATTGTTTGTATCAAATGCTTGAATCTTTTTCTTTGTGGGAGTGATTGTGTAAGATTTGTAATTCAAAAAATTGTATTTGGTTTAGTTTTAGGGTACGTTTGGTTTGAGGATTAAGAGATAAAGGCAAGTCTTTTACTCTGCTTTTTATTTTTAATTTTCGATATTTATGTTTGATAAGGTAAAGTCGTAATTTGATTTATGATTTTATTAAAATATTTTTGATAAAATTATTATTTTATTATCTTAGTTTATTATGAATATTCTAGTGAACTTATAGTTTGAATTGCAATTTTGAAGTGCAATGTGTTTTATAAAATAAAAACATATTTTATAAGATAGATTGTATATTATAAATATTTTAATAAATTTATAAAATAAATTACATATTTAATAAGCAATCTAATTTGTCCCGTTTCTATAATTTTATCACTCAAAAAAATTGAGTATCCGTATCTCTCAAACCAAATTTAGACCAAATTTAGGGTCTTGTTTGATGTGGTTGGAATTTTTAATAAAAATTTTGTTAAAAAAAATTATTATAGAAATATTGTTTTTATAAATAAAAAAAATAAAGATAAAATAAAAATAATATATTAATTTTATTAAAATTTAAATAAGAAACTTTTACAGAAATATCAATTCGGGACTTTTAAGGTTTGTAATAAAATAAATAAAATATTAATTTATAAAAAATTATAATATTTTTCATGATACAATTAAAATTTTTAAAATTTAAAAAAACTTTCTACTAATTATCACCAAACATAACCTTATTTTTAAATTTTGCTCCGTTGAGACAGGCACCAAAGCCCATAAAAGTTTTGTTACATCGCTGATTTTGGGCTTTCGTACGTCCCTGGAAATTTGGGCCGTTGGCTGTTACTGAATGTCTGGATCCGGTCCTTTAACCGCATTAAAAGCACGGATTATCCTGATTTCCGTACATTTCCAGACCGTCCGATGGCCTCCACGTATACAAAACAAATCCGACTTCCTGACATCCCCCCGCTCCATTATCCCCTATAGTGAATTCACAATCATACCCCCAGATTTCAAACCCCTCATTGCATCACCCAATAATCAGTAGCCACGTATCAAAAACAAATGTAAGAATTCTGATGCACTGGACCACCTCCTTCAAATAGTTTAGTTTTTAGGCTCGTAACGTACTCAGTGACTAAATTAACGCTGCAAAGTTCCTGAAATTTTTTTACAGGCAGCTGAGCTGAACTGAGCGCAGCACAGCACAGCACAGCACACCGTCCCTCCCTCTTCCTCTCTCTGACTTCAAGTTTGCTGTGAGTTTCTCTCTTTTCAATCAGATCTTTCTTTCTATTCGGGTACGTTTATTGATTTTTTGTTTTTCTTTCTGCATTTTTGTTGATTTTCTGGAAATGTTTTGTTTTATCTAAGGCATTTGGATTTCAGAATGTGTTTGTTTCTGTAAAATGGTGTGTGGGAATCTGTTGTGTTTAGAGGGTATTGAAGGAAAACTGTTTCTGTTTGGCACCAGATATCTTGTTACCTTTGATGGTTAAGAAAATAAGAATTTTGGGTAGCATGAAACTGATATCGAAGCTTGTACTGGTTATTTTTGGCATGTTTGAGGAGAGAGGGTAACTGGGTTGCAAATGGATTTTGCCCGAATGGGCAAACTTTCTTAGCAGGATGTTTGTGTAGATGGTGGAAATACCGGTTTGTGTTTCTATTGTCATTGCTCTAGAGCCGGCTGATTCTGCATCTTTATGTTGTTGCTAAAGAGGGTGCCATTTGCAAAGTGGGTTATGGGGGTCTGGAGTAGAATGTTGTGCGGATTGTGGAAATTGTAGTTTGTGTTTCAAATGTTATTGCCTTAGAAGCTAGCTACTGAATTTTTTACTTAATTTTCCTGTTGTTGCTCAAGACTCAAGAGGTACTGTTTGGATTTAAGTTATATATTGGATTAAGGAAAATCTGTGACATATTTCTATAATAATAAATAAAAACACAACTTTGGGTAACACAAGTTGCATCTTAGGATACCTACATGTTCTTGTACGACCTGGACTGTCACATTCTCTCTCAGCAATTTTTTGGTGCAAAAATAAACCTCAATTAATGACGATGGCTTCTACCTTTCTCAGTTTAAACTTCACGTCACACATAAAATTGATATGAATGCCTTCTTGTGTTGTAATTTTTTTTGCAAATATTTAATGATTGGGATATTTTATTTTTTTTTCCTTTTTCTTGTCTCAGATGGATTATAGTTCTGGGGAAGAGTCAGATATCAGTGAGTCAGAGATCAATGAATACGTAGAAAAACCTTATCAACAACTAAGAGATAAGACATATAAAGTAAAGGTAAAAGGAAGCTTAAGATGCCCCTTTTGTGCTGGGAAGAAAAAGCAGGGTTACAAATACAAAGAGTTGCTTCAACACTCTTCAGGAGTTGGTAAAGGATCTGCCAACAGGAGTGCAAAGCAAAAGGCAAACCACCTTGCCTTGGCAAAGTATCTGGAGATTGACCTGGCCAATGAGGCAGAACCAAACCTACGGCCATCTTCTTCTCAAGCTCCTGTTAAAACTCCAAAGGAAGATGAGCTCTATGTGTGGCCTTGGATGGGAATTATTGTTAACATTGTGGCTGACACAAAGGAGAAAATGGCTCTGCTTGAGAAGGCGTACTGGTTAGAAAAGTTCTCCAGATACCAACCTTCAGATGTTCAAATATTCTGGAATGAACAAGACCAAGCAGGGCAGGCCATAGTGAAATTCAATAGTGATTGGAAAGGTTACCTCATAGCAACAGAATTTGATAGAGCATTTGAAGGGGAGAATCATGGCAAGGTGCATTGGAGTGAACAACAAACAAATCCTGGTTCAGATGTTTATGGTTGGTCTGCACGTGCTGATGATTATCAGTCTGGGGGCCTAATAGGGGATTATCTTCGAAAGGAAGGAAAGTTAAAGACTATTTCCGAGATTCAAAGAGAAGCCAAAGAGGATAGGAATAGTGTTGTGGAACAGCTGGCTAATAAAATTGATTTGACAAATGAAGATCTTAATCAGCTGCAGTACAAGTACAATGAGAAGAACATGACATTGAGCAGGATGGTTGAAGAGAAGGATAAGCTACACCTTGCTTTTTTGGAAGGTTTCTTCCAATCCCCTTACCTGGACCTCTTTGCATGCGCTTATCTATATGCTTGTGATGTCTACATTTATACCTGGTGGCATATATCACTGCTTCTCCTAAAGAATATGCACTTTTTTATTGTTAGATGAAACCAGATATCTGGTTTTGTCTTCTTGTATAGCATTTGTGCATGTTCATAAGAACGAATTATAACTCTTGCTTATTGCTTGAACAGTTGAACAGGCCAGTGACCATATAGCCTGTAAGAAACAAATCAAAAATTGCATTGTGATATCTATTTTTTTAATTGTTTTTCAGAGACAAGGAAGGTTCAGAGGCATGCGCGTGACAGTGTCCGAAGAGTCTTGGATGAACAGGAAAAGCTAAATTATGAACTTGAAGCAAAGAAAAAGAAACTTGATAACTGGAGCAAAGAATTGAACAAACGTGAAGTTCTAACAGAGCGTGAAAGGCAAAAGCTTGATGAAGAGAAGAAAAAGGTAATCTATCTTTTCTTATCTTGTAGTCTTCAAATATTGAACAATTATAATCTATAGGCTATAGTCAACTTATACCTTGTATTTGATGGTGTTACCTATTGGAATGATCACTCATTTCACCATCATTCTTAGTTCAATTCCCTACTTGAGATTTTCCACCTATCAGGCGAGAATGATTTAATATTGCTGGCTGGAGCTGATTCATTATGTTGATTTATATCATGTCACATGTATTGCAAATATTCATTCTAAAAAAACTAAGATTAAACATAATTTTATTTTTTCTAGGGTAAATCTTTCAAGATTTTAGTTTTGCTGTGTCAAAAACTGCAAAATATTGGCTTATATAGAATTATCAACAGTGATCATGGCAGGAACTGTGCAAATTGCTTTGAGGGAAACTTTTGAATTTTTATGGATAGTAGTGCTAGATACTGACATTTTTTTATTTTTTTTTAGAATGATGACAGAAACAGTTCCCTTCAATTGGCTTCCTTGGAGCAGCAAAAGGCTGATAAGAATTTCTTGACATTGATTGAAGAGCAAAAGGTGCGTGAGCAATTTGGCCTAGCCTATGTTGTATTTGCACTTATCAATTATTTCATATAATTCTGTAGCTTTTATTGATGGGAGTTTCTAAGTTTCAGAGGGAGAAAGAAGAATACCTGAAGAAAATACTTCAGTTAGAAAAACAGCTGGACGCTAAACAAAAATTGGAAATGGAGATTACAGAATTGAAAGGTAAGTTGCAGGTGATGAAACATCTAGGAAAAGATGATGCAGCTGTGCAGGATAAGATGAAAGAGATGAATGATGAGTTGGAACAGAAAATTGAGGATTTGCAAGAGATGGAGTCTATGAATCAGGCTCTTCTTAAAAAGGAGCGCCAGAGCAACGATGAGCTGCAAGAAGCCCGGAAAGAGTTAATTGCGGTATTCTTTCTTGCATTCTTTCCATCTTAGTTTTTCCCTTACATGTTTTTGTTTTTGTTTTTGTTTTTCTTTCCCTTAATATCCTGTTAAAAACACATATTAGAAACATTGTATAATACACTAGTCTTTGACTTAACTATGTGGGCATTTGGCATGTATGGGGGTCTGAAATGGCCAGTCAGTTCAGAAATATTTGATGATCAGGGCACTGCCATTTTATTAAAAACAATGTTAGAAAAATAAGGTATTTTGTTGAGTAAAAATGAGAGACGTTGCTGTTTAATTTTGGTTTAATTCTCTTGGCACAGAATAGTGACAGGAAAGATGAATGCTGCTGTTAACATGAAATTTTTGTTTTTTCCTACCATAGGGTTTTGGAGATTTGTTGGGTGCTCGAACAAACATTGGACTAAAAAGAATGGGGGACATTGATCAAAAACCATTTCAGAATATTTGTAAGCAAAGATTCTCGCTTGATGAAGCAATGTTCCAGGCCAGTACACTATGCACCTTGTGGCAGGATAAACTTAAAAATGCTGAGTGGCATCCATTTAAAATAATAAGTGTTGGAGGGAATCATCAGGTATGACAATTGAACGTCATCTATGTAATAACTGCAAATCCAAACAGTTGTGGGTTTCCTTTTAAGTGTTTTTTTTATTGGTACTTATTAGCTGTTAAGAAGGAAATTTTTTACTCCAAAGAAAAAACCTGTGATAATTTTCATTCAATGTTTTCTTGGTGGTCAAAAAATTGCTGTAGTAAGGGTGTTTGTCCCTTACTCCCATGGAAAATGAAGTTGAAAACCATTTTTTATAAAGACGGAATGAAATGAAAGTAGAAATTAAAAAGATCATATTCCCTTTTAGCTTGCTTAATATGTTTTGAAGTCTTTGAAGTCTTTAAGATGGTTTTTTGTGCTTCTTCCTCATAAGTCAGACAACCATGAGTGAATTTGTTACTGCTCCTTTGAGGTGTTTGTTAGTTTGGTACCCGTACTTATCTTGGTTTGCCTTGATCAAGGATGGACTTAAAGTTTGATAATGTTGTGCATAATGCAGGAAATTTTAGAAGAAGAAGATGAGCAGCTACAAAATCTAAAGCAGGATTGGGGGGATGAAATATACTCTGCTGTCGTAACAGCTCTGAAGGAATTAAACGAGTACAACCCTAGTGGGAGGTACATAATTTCTGAACTCTGGAACTTTAAGGAAGAAAGGAAAGCCACATTGAAGGAGGTCATTGCTTATATTGTGAAGAATATCAAGTCACTCAAACGAAAGAGGAATTGATGTCAAGGTTAGTAATCAAAGTTCATATGGTTGTGAATTGTAATGACTTTATATGTTTCAATTATGTTCCATTATTGTAGGATGCTGGGAAGACAATCTGTTTAGGTGTCTTAGAACTTGCATATGTACACATAACCTCACAAAATCATCACGCATACATATAGATTGGTTTTCACACTTTGTTGTATGATTAATTATATCTAAATTGTTTGATGAGGCAGGATCCATGATGACAATTTGAGGAGTCTAGAGCTGTGTGCAGCCTTAAGCTGGAAGGAAGAATAACATGGTGGTGGATAAGTGTCCAAAGTGGACCAGATAACGCTAGCCTATAAACCGGACTCGCAGTTCTCTGTGTGTTAAATTCAGTTCCTGTGGGAAACTGTTCTCTGAATTGTTGATCTGTTAACCTGTATTATTACCATCATAAAACTACCATTTTCTCTTAAAATTTGTTTGTTTGCATTTTTTTTTAAAATAGGGAAAAAAGGAAGACGGAAAATGCAAGAAAAATTGAGGGTGAAGACGATTGAGGCTTGAAATCAGAAGCATAATTCCATTAAAAATGGAAATTACATATTATTTTCACATAGTAGGAAGACGGTATACATAACACCAGTTCAGATGGAATAGTGAGAAGGGAAGACATTTTAACTATTAAAATGTTATGGACAAAATGAAAAAACTTAAATATATCCTTATTTAAATTAATATGTAAGGAAAATTTAGTGATATATTTAAATAATTTTATAAGTAATCTTAATATTTTAATCTCAATTTTCACTTAGTTAAGATTAAGTAAAAAGTCAGAGCGAATCGCCAATAAATAAAAATAAACATAAAACAAAAATTCAGAGCGAATTGTAAGCAGCCTGCTGCTTATCCTTCCTACAAAATGATACCATGAAAAAGGAAAAGGTTAAAATTATAGAATTGCAACAAAAGCTTACTAAAAAATTGCAAAAGCATGTACCCCAAAAAAAAAAAAAAAAACATATATACATATATACATATATAAACAGAAAAATAAGAAAATTGCAATAAAAGACCATATAAATACTGCAATTGCGTGAACCGTACATGAGATTCATCTTTATCATGAAATAAGCCATACACTTTCTTTTCTGATGAAAATAAATAAAAATAAACCACCAACTCAAAGGGAAAAATCCTAGTTAAATTACAACTAATTGAAGAATCACACTAAGCAATTTGTTTCTAAGTTGATTAGAGGACTATCTATTTCATGGCACAATGATCCACTTCCAGGTTCCGGTGCTACCAAAATCTCAAGTGTACATCTAACTTATATAACTAAAAACTGGTATCAAGTAGAATCATAGACGATAGACTACACCAAATGGTACATTTCCTCGAGTTGAACTGGAATCTGCATGTTGGGTGTGGAAGGAACTACTCAAGATGAAACCCTGGGATGAGAAGATAATTTAAATAAGTGCCATTTACCGCCTACTATGATATCTATGGCGGTCTTCAGAACTCCAAGAATGATCCCTTGGATAAGTGCGCCTATCTGATGATGGATACCGTGAGGGACCGGAGTAATCATAGCGGGTAAAATCATCACATGACAAAGGACTCCTTCTACCCCTGTCAGATTCTAATCTTGTTGGGAGAGGGCTCTGATCCATGTAACTGTCATACCTTGGAGGATAAGACCTGGATAAACTAAATCCAGGGTCCACTCCAGGAGGTCCGTCATCCCTGAAATTCCTGTACCTTTGCTCATGATGGTATCCTCGGCTGCCATGTTCTGAATGAAGACTTGATCTTTGGGGTGATCTATTCCTAGATGGATCAGAACTTGAAGGAGCAGGAGCAGGAGCATGTGCCCAACGCTTAGCATCTGCTCCTTCTGGAATTGGTGCATTTATTCCTGGAAATTCAATAGTCTTTTTCCTCTTTTTGTTAGGACGCTCACCATCTATAGTCTCATCTTTCATCTCAGAAATTTCCCCATCTTCCTGTCCTTCAACAAATACTCCATCAGTGTATATTATGATTCCAGATGGTTGATCCTCATCATCTAGGTCTGGGTACATCAAAAAGAAGTGTAAAGCAAACATTAATGAAAATCAGATTTGCATGAAGTAAACTGCTGACTCAAATAAAGAATTAGAAACATCTGGGTGATTATCTGCATAAGAAACACAAAATCCAAAGTCCAAGTCTAACAACTTTTATATCCTTTGTCTACCGTTACTAACTCAAAAAGACATGAAAGCAAAGTATAGCCAACCAAAGACAGAAAAAACTGTGAACTCAAATATCAAGTACATTATCTTAAACCAGGAGGTAAAAGGATCCTACTTTAGGAATAATAAGCATCACACACGAGGGGTTTTGTTTTACTCTAGCCTTCACTTTGCTCAACTTTGAAGATCTACTGATGCCTGGGCTACTCAAAAGCCTGATATTGGCTAAAGATTGCCAACCTATTTTATTAATTTTTTAATTTTTCAAAATAATTTCAACTCCAATTAATGAGGTCACGAAGCAGGGTATAATACTACAACATTTAAAGCTAAATTGAGCAAGCATAATAAGCTTGAATTAGGATAAATCAGAGCCAGAAAAGAAACAAGAAGGTGCAACATAATAGGCAAAGTGAACAAGGGACAAAAAGGAGGTCATGAAGCAGGGTAGAAGGCATAATAAGCTTGAATTTGGAAAAATCAGAGCCAGACGAGATAAAAAGGTGCAACATAATGGGCAAGTGAACAAGGGACAAAAAAAAGAGAAAAAAGTAAATAAAGAAAAATAAAGTATTTGCAGTGCAACCAAACTTTAACCTAAAATTTATCAACAGAACAACAGACAATATTTCTTCCATTGTTTTCCAAGCTAAAGGGCTCAACTCTAATATCATAAATCATAAATAAAGGTCACCCCTGAACTTATGCGTCTGTTAGTTACCTAGATATCCTGGTGGGTACCCAATTTCTCGCATTCTGTTAAGCCAGGGAGGTGGATCAAACTCCTGCAACAAATTGAGAATTTCAACACTTAACTATGAGGAAATATCGAAAAGAGACTGGAAAGGGATTGGAATAGAGGAATGCATTATTCCATCATAAAGCATGTGCATATATATACTAACACAAACCAGAACTACTAAAAAAGATCAATTACATGATGATTACATCAAAAGCTTGAGAATGGATTGAATTTAACACAACTTATTAAAGAATTGCTACACTACAACATTTAGCCAGATGGAAAATTAACTTCCACCAAATTCCAAAAAATAAAAAATGGAGATCAAATTAGAACCTAGATATTTCCTAAAAGGCTAAAACAGCTCAGTATTAGTAGCTTTCTTTCACTTGGTTACATATTTCCTCAAGTGTCAACAAGTATCATTACTTTCACTTGCTGCTAATCTACAAAGGAAGAAGAAAAGTTCAGAACAGAACAATTTAATTTGGCAATCATTAGAAACAAACAGTTACTAGGGAAAGTAACACCTTAAGGAGAAATTTTTTTGAATCTCATGCTCTCTCAAGGCATTGACTTCTTGGATGTCCAGTTTACAGACAAGAAGTCAAAACAGCTTCTTGAGTCAAGAAACCAATTAACTGGGACTTATAATTTGTATATCAAAGATTGTTGTTTAACATCCAGCATAAAATAGGATTTGTCTTGCAGAACATTACCCCTAGTCCTAAAAGTTGTCGTGTTTCAGCAGTCAGAGAAGCTGGCTTTAAATCATCAAACTTTCCACCTTGGGAACTCTGATAATAACGAATAGAGTTGTGAGATCCAGCACTCTGATTCCTTTTCAAATTGTGTTGTTTTCTAGCTTCAATGACAGCAGCATTATCACGAGGCTTTGGGCATTGCTTCAATGAATGACTGTAAGAACCACAATTGAAACATCGACTGGCATCTCTTATTATCTCCAAGCCTCTGCAATATGCAGCACCAATGGTTAGAAACCATGCACAAACAAAGTACCCTACCAAATACAGAAGTAGAAGTCTATGCTGGAAACAAGCTGAAAATGCAGTTAAGTATCCAGCAGAAGGTAGAGATAACATATCAAAAGAAGTATGCTATACACCAAATGCGCTTGTATCCTAAGGGCTGAAGTTGGAATGCTATAAGGACATATTCGATTGGGTTTTTTAGCTACGTTAAGAAAACATAGTGCAGAAGAATCTTATTCCCTCCTATTGATTCAAGTTCCTGTTGTCAGATTGTCCTATGTACCGTACAGATTAGGAGTGGTTAAACCATCAACATTACCAATGAGATTCATGAAAAATAAAGCAAACATTTACATATTATTTATGCCTACATGGTTGTAGTAACACCAAGCTCTCCCCTCAGACAACCCTTTTTTCTTGTTTATTTAATAAAATATCATGCCACTAGCTAAATCTCCATAAGCAAGAAGAAAGGACAATGAGTTAAAGTATGAAGATTTTACAGCAAAAGAAGAATAAAATTAATACTACAAACTAAGAAGCCTCAGAGCCTTATCTTAAAATAATAATAATAATAATAATAATAATAATAATTTGATGCCCATAACATGATTCTCTTTTCCCTTTTTTACCAACAGGCACAAGTCTGGAACACCGAATAATTTGTATTTGACAAACAATGTTTAAATAATAATACAATTGCAAATTTACAATGCTACACAATGCACCCTGCAACCAAAACTAGTCATTAAATGGTTATCACAACACTGATCATAAAAGCAGACAATAATTAATCCTCGAGTAAGAGTAATCTAGGATATATTTCAACAAGAATCTAGCGTAAGCTAACATTTTGTCATGCTTCTCAGTCAACCAAAAGAGAAATATTATAACCTAGAAAGGTCAACAAATAAAACAGATTTTCACATCCTCAACTATTTCCAGTAAATGAGTTCTATTTCCAAGCAGTATGAGACATGGAAGACTGGACAGAATGATATTACCCCTCCAATTTACTTGAACCATCTGCTGAAGTCAAACCGAAGGCATAACCACGATCATAAAGAGGCACAGTATCACTATCCAAGGGGATGAACCCCTTATCATGCTCATTGCTTGTTTGGCTGTCTATCCAGAATGACTACAGCGAGGAAAAAAACAGAGAAAACTTTATCTTTTTCTTGTGACTGAAAATGCAAGCCTCGAGAAATGTTATCTGGAAAAGAGCTATTTGGAGAACATTTTTTGGAAAGATGGTAAGAATTGTGATGTGAATACCAGTAATAGAGGTATATAATCACCAAATTGGCCCCACCCCAAAAGAAAAATGGGAAAAGGACAAGAGGTTTGTTAAAATTGTATCTACATAAGAACAGTTTAGTTTGAGGCCTACAAGGTTCAATATCTTCTACAAACTGTTCCAAACACAAAAACTAAAATAAATAATTGATGATCTAGGTCCACACACTAGAAGTGTGTACGGTGCAACACAAGACCAGAGAGACAGAAAAAGAAACTTACCACAGCAGAGGTCTTCTCAATACCAACCCATAGAGCAGGGAAGTATGTCTTTTCACCAGATTCTATGATTTCATTCTCATCCTGAACAGATTAAAAATAGAATAAGATTACATAAAAGATAAAACAACTTATTTCAGCTTAAACCTAAAGTGCTCTGCAAGCCATACACACATGATACATGCAAAAGAATAATTTCATCCATAGTATCAGTTGCAAGCATGCAATTCATGCATACATACATATGTGCATAAATATATAGAAATATTACATTCTTATTTTTGTACATAGGAAATTAATGGTATACACATGTACAATTAGGCACCCATCACTGTGAAAACATGGATATAGGCATGCAGATACAGAATGAATCTTTATCTGTGAAATGGCCTTATAATTTTTTTTTGTCATGAACAATTGTAATTCCCCAGACCAACAAGCAAAACAAAATGAAGGCAAGCACTAAGCATTTTAAAGCAGAATAGTTAGTTTAGGTTTAAAGAGATTAAGATTTTAGATTTTCTGAGCTACATGATCCCTGATTACTATTTCGACAATTCCCATCAGAAAGGAACAAGAGTGAACTAGTTCCCTCATATTTTTTGAATGTCATAGCAAAACCTATGGAAAAAAAACATCTATAAGGACTAGTCAAAAAATAATTTCCATTTTTTCAAATTCTTTTCTTTCTAATTCTCCTTCTTAATTTTTCCATTCTTTTAACTTTTCAACCAAACAGATTAACCTTAAGGAGCCTCATAAAGTCATAAACTATCAAAAAGAAAAAGAAAGGGATAGAAAGTTTGCAGTGGCTCATCTACACATAATCACTAGGCTCAAGAAGAGTTAAATCTTCTTCACCTCTTGAAGAATGTCAACAAGAAATATTAGTTTAACACATTGCACATAAGCTGTTCAACAGGTGACAATTCAAGATGAAGATTACACAGCTTTTCTTTTCTTTAAATTGGAAACAGTAGATGAGATCAACTATATTCATATTTTGATCAGGATCAAAGACAAAACAAATTTCTAGGAAAAGATTGGAAAAAAATTACAGCTGATTTACAACACCCTGCAATACAAAACTGAAGCCCTAAAATTTGAATGAAGTGTATCAATATTCTAAACTGATTAATCAAACTAATCTAAAACATCAGAATAGAAACATTAATATGTAGAAAAGCTGCTGATTGTGTAGATAACCAGTTAACCACTCTAGCCTTCTCAAATTGAAGTCCATCCTAATTGCAATAGAGTACTTTGGAGACCCTAAAAAGGTGTACAATCAGACTGATATACAATATTAAGAAGCTTCAAACTCCCTTTAATTGAAAAAAGTTTTTCCCACAGTCCACAGATAAGAAATTTCAAGAAACAAGAATTTAAACATGTGATATAATGAAAGGGTATTAGAATCTCAGACGTGATGATCTGATTGACTTTGAAGAAAAGAAAATGTGTGAAAGTAATGAACCAAAGACAGCTTTTAGATATCACACTTACTTGTGATGAAGAACCATGTTCAGCTTGCCACTTTGACCACTCCTGCAAGACTTCCTCAAGCTTCTGTTTACTAGCTCTGAAAAGGTGAATGGATTTATTAAGAATAAATGCAATAAAGACCCAAAAATATCCATTTTCTATATAAAATACCCTTACTCCAGCCCTAACCTTGTTAAGGAACTATATATAACATGAACAGAAGGCTGCTGATCATCATTTGCCATCCCCACTTTCTTAATACTGGAACTGGATATAGCTGGCAGGTTGAATTATGGAAAACAAACATCTCTCCATGGACTCTACACAATTCCATTTTAACCCACCCAAAAAAAGGAAAGAAAGTTGCATTGATATCTACTTATATTGGACAATAGAATCTTTACCCTTTTGCCTGTCCATAGAGTTTGAGAACATGAAAGGAAAAGAAATTAAGAAGCAGGATACAAGTACCATCCACAATAGCGTTCTGGATGGGACTTCCATTTTGAACATTTAAATGATCATCAGCTTCCATTCTAGAGATGGAGCTATCTAATTTCGCTTCAACTGTAACTGTTTTAGAAAGCACTTCAGTGCTGAAACCATCCGGTTTCTCTCTGAAAGTAACAGCTTCAGACATTGCAGTATTCAGTTGCTTGGCAGATGAATCATCCTCGCCCTGCTTTGCCGCTACCTGGCTCTGAGCACTTCCAAGATCAACTTCATCAAGTTCTATTTTTTCTCCTTCTACTGTGTCATCATTCTTCTCACAGTTACCAGGCTGAGAGTCAGCTTCATGAGGTCCAGAATTATCAGAATCACAAATTTCACCACTCTCACTTCCAGAATCCAAATCGCTAGGAGATGGAACCTTAATCACATCCTCAGCTTCCATACTTCATGAAAGCACAAGATGCACCTTTGAATTGTCAATCGACCAACCCTCCAAGATTCAAAACTACCCTGCATGAGATGAACCCCTCATCAGCAAAACCATCACCGAAGTCCCAAAACTTGGATAAAATTGAAGACAAAAACGAACCCATTATAAGAAATTCGCCTACTGTCATAGTTTCAGCATTAGCTATAGCATTCATCCTTCAATTTAGGGTTTTTCAGAAATTTTACTAAGCCATGGTGCTATCAGTTAATTCTCCAACGCCAAATGAAAAAGAAAAAGAAGAACAGAAAAAACGAAAAGGAAAATGAAAGCTGAAAATTGGAGTTTAGGGTTTACCTTGAAGCGAAGCAAAGAATCAGCTAAAGATTCGCCGGATTTTTAACGGAAAGATTAGAGCTTCTGGTTTCCGCAGTATATTTATTTATTCTTTGGTTTTCTTTTTTTTTTTTGTAATTTATTATTTATCATCTCAAAGCTACGGATTAGAGACAAAAGGCGGCGGGCAATGATTAACTGCGACGGAGCAAGGGTTAATGATTGAGCACGTTGAGTTTGACCCATCTTGACTATTAAAACGGAGCGTTTAGAGGTTCAATAACATTGTTATGTTACCCCTCAACGTTCATGAAAATTTCAATTGACTCCTGTTCATTAGGTTCTAATATTATTAATTATTTCAATGGAGTACAAGTGATCCATTTTCCATTTCTTCTGGCTACTAAATTTGATGAAAAATTAGTTCAAATAGATGAGTTAAATTAATTCACCACAAAGTTTGATTGCTTGGTGTTTTGTTAAGGATGATGCCATGATAATACAGTGTCTAATAGTCTAGTTGGTCCAAGACAATGTCCTTCTCTTTAGCCAGATGCTTCTGCTACTGGTTGACATGGGTTCCACCACCTCCCTTGATCCTTGCTCCACGTACAATGAACTCATGAACCTCTTAGAGGTAGATGCCTGCTGTAATGGACTTCTCCTGTAGTCTCTTCTGAGGAGTTGGTCATCACTAGAGCTCTCTTCACTAGTGTCTGTCTCCACCTTTGCCTTTCCCTTTGCATTGGCAGCTGAAACTTGTTCCTCTTCTTCAGAATCTGAGCTGAACTCTCCCTGATCACTGCTGCTTTTGACAGAAGATGTATCGCTTAGTCCGTGGAAGATTGTCACACTTTCTCTCTTTGGACCTTGAAAAGAGTAGCTCCTTGTTCTTGCATTGTATAAAGGAAGGTGAGATTTTGTCTTTGAACTTGTTCCATCCCTTCCCAAACTGTAGGTTGTTGAGAGCTTTCTCTCTATGCCTTCTCTTTCTTTTACTAAACTTCCAATTTTTTCGATTACCTCGTTAGCCATTGCTTCCTCTGCAGCCTTTTGCTTTAACTCAGTAATTGTCCTATCAAATGCTTTCTTCTTAAGTTGGAGAGATCTCTGCAAGGAAGAGCAAGCAAATATGTTTGGCAGAACATAGAGTGCAAAGTGATAAAATTATAAAACCAAATAACTTACTCGCTTTTCTAAAAAGCTTCCCAGTTGTTGATCTTTAAGCTCCTTTTTCTTCCAAAATATGCAACAGAATCGCACTAGTGCTGCTAAAACTACCAGCAGAAGAGACTCGAATAGCAGGAACAGAATTATTTCCCTTTCCCTGCCTGGAGGAAAAGTGATTATGGCTGTCCTTAACACTAACTGGTGTTTGATTTTGAAGAGTAAAGAGAGTTGTAAGCTATTTACCGGTGTAGATACTGAGGTCCTTAGGTGGTGTTCCTTGGGAGCAGCTAGAAGCTAGCTTTTGACCTGGTTAAAATCAAAAGGAGAATGTGTATGTATTTAATGAAGGAAAAGAAAACATGAAAGGGTTTGAGACAGGAACATTACCTGTGCTACGACAAGGCAGCGGATTACCAGTCTCTTCATCAATCACAAAGACCAGGATGTCAGTATTGATACAAGAGCTTATAACCACAGAAGCAGAATAAGCAGAGTTGAGAGAATGATTTAATAAGCATAGTTCAATAAACCTCACTTGAAGCAGTTATAAAAGCAAGAAGGATTCCTTCATCCACCACGAAGTTCTGGAGATAACTCTTGGATAATGAGGATGAAAACTGGCCTGGTTCAGTCATGTAGGAAGTACTCATATTGAAAGGCAATAAATCCTTTTATGAAAGCAACTAAAATGAAACAAGAGTTACCTGTATGGCCTTCAGACCAATAGGTTTTTCCAGTTGCAGGAACCGTCAGGGTGAAGACTGTGCTTATTGGCTTCAATGCTGAGATGTAAGTGTAGTCACCGATTGTGTGACTAGTCTTTCCCTCCATTTCTGTCTGACAAATATATACTGCATAGCCTGAACAATCAAGAAAAGGACTGACTTGGATGACAGATTCCAGGGTTGTTGCCCTAGGAAATTTCTTAAGAATCCCAGTTGGTGAAAATGAGTATAGGAACCCATCCAATGAACCGATGGAAATCCATCCTGTTGAGTACAAAGAATTGAGATGGTGAGTTTATACTTGTAAACAGTAGAAGACTGGAATAATGCCAAAACTATTCCTTCACCATGTCTACATATGAAACTAAACTAATAACATATCAATAACATAATAGATAAAACATGTGCATCTATATGCTGATAAAAAAAAAGTACGCCAATAGCCAAAAATGTCATAAAAGAAAATTTTGACTCCGCTTGTTGATGACACAAAGAAATTCCAACTGCTGAACATATATAGAGTTTCAAGAATTTTCCTGGATGATCAAGGCAGGTCTGCCAAAGAATAACTTGATTATGATTAATGGAGCATGTGCATACCGTGAGAATCAATAACTGGTTCAAAGTTTGTGGTACTTAATGGCCCAATACTCCCCTGCCAGAGGACATTTCCTGAAGAAACATCTACAGCCAAGATCTTAGACTTTACAGGTAGTGTGATATATAAACGGCCATTGTTACCAGGTGTAACAGTGAAAACATTGTCAAATGAACTTAAGTCCAAGATCCATTTAAAGTAGGGACTACGAACTGACAGTGAATAAAGTTCCCCTTTAGTGTTTGAGATCTGCAAAGGAAAAAACATGAAAATCATAAACAAAATGAGTTCAAATACAAAGCAATTAATTTGAAATATCATCTTCTCTCTTTTCACCTGGGAACGCCCATGGATATATAAAATCTCTCAATCTAACATTATTAAAAGATGAAACTAAAGTTAGCGGAACTTACATAGATACTAGCCTCACATTGATCAATGACAGGGCTTGAAGCAAAATAACAGTCCTCTACGTCTTTCCTACAACCTTGCTGGTAGCCATATTGGTTTAGCACAGGACCAGCGCTCCAGAGTAGCTGCTTGTGTGTTGTGTATGCAAAGAGGCCCCGATTCTTAATATTGATGAAGACAGATGAGCTAAGTGTGCTTACAGCAACCCCAACAATCTCATCCAGGGTTTGCTGACTTTGTGCAGGACCAAAGAAAAGTTCCATGACAGGGCCAGAAGTACCCATATTTTGGAAGTTGATTTTCAGAAGTCTGTTTTCTACAATCAAATATAGCTGCCAGTATCTTGCAAAAATCAATAAGAAAACAATTCAAACTCAAGGACTAACCCTAGCAAGGAAAACATTAATTGCTTGCTTACCTTCCCTCTACCACCATGAACTGGGGCTGTCCCCATGTTGCATGTATAGTTCAAATTCAAGGACCAAGCTAGGGAACCATTGCTTTCAAATGCAAACAAATTTTTCTCAGAACAAGCATAAACTCTTCCATCATCTCCAATTAAAGGTTTTGAAAGCCTTCGACCAGTTCCAGATATCGCTAGAGCTGAAGAACAGTTTGACAAACAGCATGAATGCAACATAGAGTCTCCAATTCAGTTTAAAAAGACACAAAAAAGGAAAACAGCAGAATATTATGAAGTAAACTAAAATATGATGCAATTAAGAGAAAATTAAACCTGAAAAGAGGTGTGGACATGGGTGAGGAAACGCAAAAATGGAAGCCAGGAAGAATAAAAGCGAAGAAATTGCAGTCATTGTGTGCGGAAGAGAAAGAGGTCTGTTTCTTGGTTTTGTAAGTTACTCGGAGGAGCAGTTAATTAACCGCTAGGAAAACGAGAAATTTTTTTTAAAAAAAATGTAAGGACAAAATTTGCTCATATTAATCATTTGGAAAAACATCCCTCAATTTATTAAATAGTCAATATCATCCCCCAAATTTTCTCTCCGTCCAAACGTAAATACAGATACAATTAGACATACTATTCCTATCCAACGTAGGAAAAACAATTCATTTCTTTTTGAAGGATTAGGTAAAACTACAATCCGCTACTTGTAATATCTAAGCAATCTTCAAATCATTGAATATGATGAAACAAAAATCTTAGAAAGATTAAAAATCATGGTGAGATTCTTTCCTATTGATCATATCGGCGACATACCATGCCGATTACCTGTTAAAAGTCTTGTGCGATTCAAGAGTCTCTCGAGGCCATGGCATTCTTTGATGGATGATCCATGTTTCGTCGGTTCTCATCTCAAACACGCCACTGAAACCAACAGAGGTTCGAAGCTTATTACACGGTTCTTAAGTGAACTTGATCTTTTGTGTGCAGAAGATTTAGATTCATTAGGCACAGGCAACCTAGTAAAGCTTGGTCTTCCAACAAAGAATAATTGGAGTGAGTGCATCAGTTTACTTGGTTCATGCAATGGCTTGATATGCTTAGGTGATTGTGAGAATCTCATCCTGTGGAACAAATTAACAGGAGAATACCGAAATGTTGGACTCCCACCTGGTGCACTTAACCAAGAACAGAAGCTCCTACCTTTCAGAAGCCACGGGTTTGGATATGACTCCAAAAATGATGATTACAAAATAATGGGAATTGTTGACTATTATTCTAAAGGTTATGTTTTTAGGAGGCATGAAATCAAAGTTTATAGCTTGAGAAACAATACCTGGAAAAGCATTCAGTGCAGACTTCCTTTCTTCTCTGGAGGAGCAAAAACTGAAGACCAAATGGGGAAAGGCCTGCTTGCTTGTGGAGCACTCAATTGGTTGGCATTTTGGGATGATTGGATAGTTACAACAAACATTTTTTCATCTATTCTTTTGACCTTGCAACTGAGGTGTTTCATGAGATTGGTTTGCCTGAGAATACAAACTGTGGCGCTGTGGGAGAACTAGGAGGCTGCCTTACAGCCACATGCTGAGAGAGCAAAGTTGGACGACATGCAGATGTTGATGTATGGGTGATTGAGGATATGGTGAAGAACTCCTGGACTAAATTGCTCCGGATACCAGGTGACAGTTTGTTGAAATTCATGAGGCCTCTAGCTTACTTGAGAAGTAGTAATGAAATACTGTTTAAATCCGATCTTTCCGGCTTTCTTTGGTACAATCCAGGAAATGGAGAATTGGAGGATGTTTATACTGGTTATGATGGATGTATTCCCGCAGCACCAGAAATCTGTTTAGATACCCTTGTCTCCATAAGTGCTTACTCAGACTGCCAACACCGGAAAACAAAGGAAAAGAGCGAAAAACGTCCAAACATATCAGTAAACCAAAAACAGGGTAACATTTTCAAGAGCAGGGGAGCAGACTCTTCTACATTAGCTATTCTTGTTGATCTTATTGTTCCTGTAGCTTTTGTTTGCTTAATCATTATTCTAGTCAAAGAGGTATGTCATCTGTGCAGGTACTAGGGAATTTGCTAGAAAGTACCTCGTCATGACCTCCTCAAGGGATGAAACATTCATCAAAGTGGAGAGGAGAAGCGACTCAAGATTGTTAATAAACTAAAATGACAGGCTTTAGCTTCAGTATCTTTCCTACAATGTTAATGCCCCTGCATCAAAAATAATTTAGTAGAATGCAAGAATTCCAGCTGTAATAGATTTTCTCATGCAAATATATGATATAGTGAACATCACTATAAATTTCTGTTACTTTTTTATGACAATAGAATGAATGGCATTTCTCATGAGATTTACCAACTTTTGAAATTATATTCAAGAAGAATATTTAAAGTGGGATGTGGAAAATACATCATAAAAAGAAGTTAAAGCAATCTGATAGATGGATAATATTCACAATATAGAAAGTGGGCAATAAAGCAGGCGGAAAGCAAAGGCAAAACCATAAGTTAAGCCCCTGAACGAACCCCAGAATCGCTATTAAGCCCCTAGACTTTAATTGATGCAGTTAAGCCCTTGAACTC